CATTGGTAAATAGCCCTCCTCTTCCAGTGCTTCGCATGTCCTTCCCTCTGCATGTCTGTCCCAGTCACCTCCAGTGAGGACATCACTCGCATTGGATTGGCCCATTTATGGGACTGCTTTTTCCTCGATGATTTCTAGGAGTAGAATTGCTGGATCATGTGGGAGGTTTTTCATTATTTGAGTCACTGTCCTACCACTTTCATTAAGGCTAGACTCGACTGTGTTCTCACCAATACTGTACATGTTTCCTTTCTCTTAATGTCCTTACAACCAATCTTTGCTTCTAGTCTTTCAGTATGAGCATTTCATCTCAATATCATTTTCATTTGTATTTTCATGATAACTAGTGTTAGTGGACATTTTCATTTTAATGTATATTTTGGCCATCCATGTTTCTTTGGATGAGTGTTTGTTTAGCTTATTTCCCATTTTTGATATTTTTTTGTTGTTGAGTGTTGTGAGTTCTTATATATCTCTGAGTTGAGCCCTTTGACATACATGGAGTGTGTGAATATTTTCTCCTATTCAGTAGAAGTTTTTTTTTCTTCATTTCAGTGATAGTTTCATTATGCAGAAGCTTCTTGGTTTGAGTAGTCCCATGTGTTTATTTTTGCTTTTGTCCCCCTTATTGGGGTTTAATACCCAAATAAATTATGAAATTCAGGAATGTTACATGTTTTCTTCTACATATTTTATGATTTCAGTTCTAACATCCAAGTATGAAATCTATTTTGAGTTCACTTTGTACATGATGTAAAATTCTGGTTCAGTTTTATTCTTTTTTATGTGACCATCCAGTTATCCCATCACCAATTAAATCATTGAAGATGCTTTCCTTTCTTTAATTTATACTCTTTGTTTGTTTGTTGTAAATTAACTACCCGTATACATGAGAATTTATTTATGGGTTCTCAGTTCTGGTATGTTTGATTTATTTATTCTTACCACAGTTTTTGCTGTTCTACCTTGATAGAATAGTTTGCACTGGAGAGAATGATGCCTCCATTTTTTTTCCCATGATTGTTTTGTCTGTTCAAAGTCTTTCATGACTCTACAAATTTCATTGGTTCTTGTTCTGTTTTCTTGCCATTGGAAAGATACTGTTGAAGTTTTAAGAGTATTTGCTTTGAATTTGTTGCTTTGGAGAGGATAGTTATATTAAAAATGTTAATCCTTTCAATTCATTACTACAGACTATCCATATATTTCTTTGTGATTTCCTTTAATATTGTTTTAAAAATTGGTATTTGAATATCTGGGAAGGTATTTTAAGTGTTGATTTTAAGTGTTGATTATATGATTTCAGAAATATGGCTAGCTTTTTTGGTAAGGGGGCCACACCAGCTCACTCAGGGCTTATTCCTGGCTCTGCACTGAGGCATCACTCATGGCAGGCATCAATCCTCAGGTGACTATTTGTGGTGCTGGGGATTGAATCTGAGTTAGTTGTTATCTGCTATACTATCTTTCCAGACCCTGAAATACTAATGACTTTTGTATATTGATTTGTAACCTGAAACTTTCTGTTTCTATCTATTTCTCATAAGTTTTTTTAGTGGATATGTTAGATTTCTATGTATATTATCAGTCATATGTAGATAGTGATAGTTTTGATTCTTAATCTCAAGTTTGACTTCTCTTTATTTTTCTTGTTTTATTGCTTGGCCAGTACTGTCCATTATATTTGAATTACAGTGGTGAGAGTGAACATCTCTTTTTCTTGTGACAACTGAAAAACTTTCAGTTTTATATCCATTAGATACCACAGTGAGTAGGGCATTTGCCTTGCATGCGGTTGACCCGGGTTTAATTCCTCTGTCCCTCTCGGAAAGCTCAGCAAGCTACCAAGAGTATCCTGCCCTCATGGCAGAGCCTGGCAAGCTCTCCATGGCGTATACGATATGCCAAAAACAGTAGCAACAAGTCTGACAATGGAGACGTTACTGGTGCCCGCTCGAGCAAATCGATGAGCAACGGGAGGACAGTGCTACAGTGCTATCCATTAAGATGTCAGCCATGGCTTTGTCATTTAGCCTTTACTCTGTTGAGATATATTTCTTCTTCCCCATTTCTTGAGACTTTTTTTATCATTGGCTTATGATATCATCAAGTGATATCTATTGATATGATTGTAGTTTTTTCCAATTATTTTTATTGACGTGACATCTTACATGAATTTATTTGTGTATGTAACTATCCTTGTATCACGGGAATAAATCCCATTTGATCTTGCTGTGATTTATGTTTTAAATAGGGGCCACATCTAGCTGTGTGGTAATGGGGAGGGGCATGCAGTGCTAAGGATCAAACCCGGGACCTTTCCTCATCCTGCAGCATATCACCACTTGAGCCGCACCTGCAGCCTGATACATCATCCTTTTGGTATAATATAGGATTTTTGCAGAAATGGTTATTAGGGATTTATCTCTAACTTCCTTTTTTGTATGTTTGATGTCTTTGCTTCTGTTTGGGGCCTCCCAAACAATGCTCAGGAGGCCTGTTCATTCCCACCAGATATTCTCAGCCAGCTGAGCTGGTGGTTCCATGCAAGGGCCTGAGGAGATGCTGCTACTCAGGCCCTGTGGTGCCAGCTATACCCAGAGAACCCCCACGGGATTAGGGCCTCTAGATCTGTCAATGTATGGGGAACCGAGGGGTTCCGGAGATCAAGCCCAGGTTGGACTTCTGTATCTCTAGGGCACTCTTCTGGTTTGGCATCAGGGAAATGTTGGCCTCATAAAATGTATTTGGAAGAACACATTTAATTATTTTGAGGAGGTTGAAAGGAATAAAAAAACTCTATGCTAAAATTATACAAGATATGTTATCAGATATATTCATTCTGCATGTTAGGCAAACTAAAGCAATGCTCTTATGGCAAGTATTAGCATATGGATTAGAATTTGCAATGTCTAAACAGCATTTCAAATATACCTGTAAATTAGCAGACATGCACTCATTGAGGCTAATGTGATTAGCTTGTTAAGGCTAAGAGGAGGTTACATTTATTAAAGTATGCTTAAAAAGTTATGCTCTGTGTTTTAGCAGGGAAATGACTCAGAATCTTAAGGAATTACTGTTGCGTTATCAACGAACTATTAACATAGTAGTTAGTTCTGAAACTGGTGTTAATAGGTTCACTAATAAATATTTTCGATTTGATCGTCGATTTGCTCGAGCAGGCCCAGTAACATCTCCATTGGAGACTTTGTTGTTACTGTGTCTGGCATATCGAATACTCTCGGTAGCTTGCCGGGCTCTCCGAGAGGGGCGGAGGAATCGAACTCGGGTCGGCCATGTTGGCCGCGTGTAAGGCGAACACCCTACCCGCTGTGCTATAAAGATTTTTATTTTCTTAGCATAAAAATTGATGGCTATGAATTCAAATTAAACCCATCCTGTACATTAAAGTACAGTCGGTCACTGATAAAGTTGCCAGCATCATTATTTTAAATTGAAGCATAGCGCATGCGTATTTTTTATTAGACTTTTTTTGAGGCATGATGAAGTCATGTTATTTTGGCTTATAATCAGCCTCCTGAGGTGAAACAAGAAATTTAAAGATACGGGTATAATCGTGTGTGTGTGTGTGTGTGTGTGTGTGAGAGAGAGAGAGAGAGAGAGAGAGAGAGAGAGAGAGAGAGAGAGAGGCAAAATGTCTTATTGAACTGTGTATCTGGTTGCCTGAAATACTTGGAGTAAGTTGGCACTTTCTTTGGCACCGTACTCCTGCTTCCAAGTTTTTCTTGAAAATTCTTGTTTTCGGGGCCGGAGCAATAGCACAGCGGGTAGGGCATTTGCCGTGCACGCAGCCGACCCGGGTTCTATCCCTGACATCCCATATGGTCCCCGGAGCACTGCCAGGAGTGGTTCCTGAGTGCAGAGCAAGGAGTGACCCCTGAGCATTGCTGGGTGTGACCCAAAAGGGCAAAAAAAAAATTCTTATTGTCTCCTCTTTCCTAACCTAAAGCTTTTCTCTCCGCTATCACATGCCTACCAATTTGGGGGCTGATTGAAACCTCTGATTCTACAATCCTTTGCTCTTGCTCTATGTACTCCATTGCTTTCCTTTTGATTGTGATATCTGTTGTATTAGTTATTTGTTACTTTCTCTTGGACCATATTTGTTTGCGTTTGGTAACATGAGATACTGTGAATTTGCCCACAGAGATCGTCAGATATTAAGGTCACATTGGTGAATTAGACCAATGTGAATTATCCACTCTCTACAAATGGTCTAATTCACCCATGGTAATCTCTCCTTTCAGAACTCTGTACAGTCAGGAGGTCATGGGAGTATAGGGGTTCATCCTGATTTTCAGATTCCTCAAGTTTCTACTCATTGCGATCTCCTCATTTCATCTTTGTCTTTTGGTGCTGAATTGAATGGTCCTTGAATGCTCATCTGACTCCTGAAGTTAGTGTGACTTTGTTTCCTAAGGTCCCTTTGTGGATGGGACCGTGCATGCCGGCCACACACATCTGGCAGCTGAGCCCTGGAAAAACATACTTTTTCACTAAACTGAGATAGTCAGTCATTCCAGACAATCATATCCAGCACATATAAACTCCCTTAGCAGGGGACTGTGGGTGTGGCTCAAGAGGTCTAGAATGTGTGAAGCCCTGAATTCTTTCCCCTCATTGCATGGGCCCCGCCCTGCCAACTCTGCTGGGTGTGACCTTCACAACTGACAAATTTATTTCTCTTGGAAGATACCATCTGTGAAGCTTTTGAGAAAGTTGAGATTTATTATCAAGCTCTTGATCTCTAAAACATTTTGTGTAATCAGCATCAGATGGATGGTGTGACTATTTTCCAAATAGTTAATGATTGGGACTTTAAAACTCACTTAACTCATGAAGTTAGAACTGGAATTCAAACACTTTTTTCCCCCCACGAAGGAGAGAAAATTGAAATGAGGAGGAAAGTGATTAGTATTGCATCTATTCACAGGACATCTGCTAATAATGCTGTTTTTTCTCTTTGCTCTTTTCTTTAGGTGATTGAAGACAATACTGGTGTTCGCCGGGTGGTGGTGACACCCCAGTCTCCTGAATGCTACCCCCCAAGCTACCCCTCAGCCATGTCTCCAACCCATCACCTGCCCCCCTACCTGACGCATCACCCTCATTTTATTCATAATTCACACACGGCGTACTACCCACCTGTTACTGGACCTGGAGATATGCCGCCTCAGTTTTTTCCACAGCATCATCTTCCCCCTACAATATATGGCGAACAAGGTATGGCGATTCCTGGTATTAGGAGCTATTGAAACTGATTAAACACTTGAACATCTTATGAAAACCAGAGTGCCTTATTTCTTCTGTATTAAACACGGTGGAAGGAAGGAAGGTATCTGCTGTGCAAAGCTCATGGAAATTTCTTTGCTTCCTTTGTCCTGAATTCTTTTTTTCTAAGAATTACATTTTGGGCTGTGACTTCTGTCCCTCCCTCCCTGTTTTTTTTTCCCTTCCTCTTCCACTCCAGTCCCTTCTCTCTCTTTCTCCCTTCCCTTGTGTATGTCTTTTTTTCTCTCTTCTCAAGCCTGCCCTCTTTCTCACCCCACAGAAAGTGAAGTGTGGATTAGTTGATCCTTATTTTGGAACGGGGGCAGTGATCCATTGCCTGGCCCATCTCCTACTCATGTGTATTTAAGTGAAGGTAACTTGAGATTAATCAGCAAGTCAATGCTTAGCCAATTTTATGGACTGGCAGTAGAAGGAATATTAGTAAGTATTTAGTACCCCGTTTCCAGTGATAATAATTTGAGGTCTGAGTAATATCTGGGTTTCTTGGTTACTCTGCGTCACAGTCTTGACAGAACTCAGAGTCCGCGATGTCCTTCTGAACCCTGTTTTGAGTTTAAGAATTGCTATGAGGGTAGCTACCAGCCATGCTGATAATTACCTTCAAATGAAGGAGGGCCAACGACATAGACGTTTTGTCTTAGTAGCTCTGGCCTTGGCACTGGTTTAGTCTAAAGCCCTTCTCTATCAAACTGGATACAAAAAACCAGATAAGTGAGGGTAAGAATTGACTTTAACCACTAACACTTTGAATAAGGATCTTCTTCTAAATCTGACTATTAATCAAAGCCTTTTTTGTTGCATCAAACTCTCATTATGGTGTTACTAATAAATTTGTGAGAAATGCCTTTTTTTATATCATAGCATATTTGGACTGTTAACACCTCCCTTCTCTCGTTAGTTATGTACCCGTCCCCCATATATTTATCTTACATTTTAGCTTTCTTCTTAATAATTAAAAAAAAATGAGATGGGTATTTCAAGTAAAGCAACCTGTTAACTTAGAAAAAAGAGTTAGATTTTTTTTTGTTATTACATTTTTTCTTTTGTTGTGTATTAGAATTTGCTATTAGAATGAAACAAGATAATTAAGTATTCAATATACTATCATGATGGAGTATGGAGGGATGGTAAAGCCAGTCATTCAGTTGTAAATAGGACACTGTCTCAAAGCGAAGGAGAGGTTTTGCTTCTCTTGGGGGCTGGAACTCAGCCAGAGAAGAAAAAATGGAATAACTCATGAGCATCAGATTTTGTCCTCCCTCTAGAATAGTCTTAAAGCTTGTGACTAATGAAAATGGCACTTTCTTTACTCAGTTAATGATTAATGGTCTGTGATTGTCTGGTAAAGATGTACTAACTGTATTACTATAAATTTCTACTTACATCACTATAATATAAATATTACTATACTGAGTAATATTTGATTTAAAGTAAAAATATTTGATCTCAATAATATACTGAGCTTTATAATAGATAAAGGTGTCCAGCAATATAACTGTAATTGATTATAGCTAATTATCTTTAAAAAGATCCAGCCTTCCCTGATTACATTAGCCAGCCCAAACATTAGATAATAGGTACATACTTGAAAGCATTAGTTAACTGCCATGTTCTGTTATTTGACATAGCACTGTAGCACTGTCCTCCCATTGTTCATCAACTGGCTCGAGCGGGCACCAGTAACTTCTCCATTGTGAGACTTGTTGCTGTTTTTGGCATATCGAATACATCATAGGTAGCTTGCCAGGCTTTGCCGTGTGAGCAGGATACTCTCAGTAGCTTGCCAGGCTCTCTGAGAGGAACAGAAGAATTGAACCCAGGTCGGCCACATGCAAAGCAAATGCCTTACCTGCTATGCTATTGCTCCAGCTTATTATTTGACATAATTTCATAAAACATTTGAACTATGTATAAGGATTTTTTACTGGACATAAGCTTCATAACACTGTGAAAAGCCTTGGTGACTACCTCATTTTAGCAGATTGCTATTAAGATGCCTCGTACTTATAATTTTGTGAATGATGTCCCTCAAAATTTCAGACAAAACTGTATGATTCATATTGTCATTGGAATTGGATACTAAAAGAACCCCCACAAAATATCCTCAATAAAAAACTAATGTAGTTCTTCATTTCAGTGTATTTCAATATAATTTTATAAAAAGAATTCAGCAAATAAAAATGTCTTTTATTAAACATCAAATTAAAGAAGGCAGTAACACAAAACCCCTTTTGCTTTATAAATAAAAGACCATTATCTTTTACCTTAGTTATTACACATATCTCAAAACAGTTTAAATATTTAATTTGCCAAACCATAAGATAAAAAATTCTTGGCATACTTTAAAAGATGGTTTTAATAGCACTCAAGGTGAATGTGTGTGTGTGTGTGTGTGTGTGTGTGTGTGTGTGTGTGTGTGTGTTTTGCTGGAACTTAAACCTGGGCTTTACACATTCAGGCGGACCTTCTCTGTACAACTTGATTATTTGTGAATGTTTGCTTTATGAAGATCTCCTGTAAGTATTGTGAATAGAAGGCAATGGAAAGTGGATTTTTAACTGCTGAACAGTTGTTATTTAGGATGGCCTACACAACTTTATATCCGATAATACAGCAGGCCACGATTCGGGTGACATTCTTAGTGTATTCCTGGGACAGTCCTAGTTTGGGACACTTGTCCAATGAAATGACTAAGGATGCTCCTTTTCACCCTGACTAGTATTTAGTTTGGATGGCAGTTTATGTGGTCATTATCTATAGGGAGCCTTTTTCTTCTTAGGAACGTGAAGAGAGGACCTGATCTCTTTTTCATATGGCTCTTGTTACTAATGCCCCAATCAAAAACTTTAACTGATTTGAACTGTTCAGAGATTATTGTTGTGGTGCCCACGACCGGGTTATGCTCCTTGAACCACCAGGGCCAGATCCAGGGGTGACAAAGAAGTTTGTGGCTCCTGGGATCAGCCTTTTAAATGCAGTGCATGTCCGCTACCTTTTGAGCCAAATCTCTGCCAATAAATTCCTCTCCTCAAGATTATGTAGTTATTTTTTTAGACTCCCATTTTCTTTTGTGTGACTGAAACAATAGGCATAGTAGAGCTAACTAGGTATACAGTATGAATCAATTTGTCTTGCATCCTAGTTACCGCAGAATAGAGGTTGGTGAGTTTTCTGAGATGGCCTGTCTTTTTCTTACAGCTATTCCTTGTAGGTTTTGGTTTCTGTGAACTTGTAATTATTCTTCATGAAAATAGAAATATTTTATTTTCCTACTTTTCTAAATCATGTTCAAGTGTTGACTTCTAGGAGTGTTCTAAATAATTCCCTGTTTTCTGGTTGCTACATATTTTCCAGTGGAAATACTGTTCTGGGGAGGTAGCCTGCCGGGTGGAGCGTGTGGTGGTGTGGCCCCTCACTCAGCATCGCAGGCTAGGGCCCAGATGCCCAGGAGAGGCCCCAGAGCCCCAGTGCCCTATTGCGTGTGGGCTGTGCAAATACACAAAACCCACCAGAACAAAGTCTGGAGAGATAATACAGTAGGTGAGACACTGCTTTGGGGGTCAGCCCGTGTTTGTATGGTCCGTAACAGCCTTCCCAGGAATGATCCGGGGCCTGGAGTCAGCCCCAAGCACAGCCGGCAGTGGCCCAGAAATCAAACAGCAGCAACAGTATTAAGTGTATTTGTAAGCGTGCCTTTAAAAGGAGCATTTTGATTCTTATTTGTAATTTTCATTTCACATAGATTCACCTGCTATGTGTGCTCTTCGAGGACACTAACCTTGTCTTCGCTATTTTTCATGCACTCTTAGTTATTACTGAATGCCCAGGCGAGGCCTTAGTGAATGATCCTTCATAAGTTGAAATGAGTGCAAAATTTTAAGCCCTGCGCACATTTTTAATGCTGTCTTCCGTGGGATGCTCAACCTCCTTCAGGAGTCGGGTCACTTGACCACTTGGTAGTCTGTGATTGGAAACGTAGAATGAGCAGCATCTGTCATTTTCGTGCATTTTAGAAATCATACCACTCTACGGGATGTCGAGCTACATCACCCGAGAAGACCAGTACAGCAAGCCTCCTCACAAGAAACTGAAAGACCGCCAGATCGACCGCCAGAACCGCCTCAACAGCCCCCCTTCATCCCTTTACAAGAGCAGCTGCACGCCAGCATACAACGGCTATGTCAAGGGCCACGGAGGAGGAGGAGGCGGCGGTGGTGGGCCGGGGATCAAGAAAGCTGAGCGGCGGGCCCGAAGCAGCCCCAAGTCAAACGAGTCCGACTTGCAAGGTAAAGTGCTCCCGGGGTGCCGTGAGAGTGCATTTGCCAGCGGCCTGAGAGAGAGCGTGCAGCGGGGAGGGCACTGGCCTTGCACGCAGCCCACCTGGGCTCCATCTTCGACATCCTGTGTTGTCCTGCAAGCCCTGCCAAGTGGGAACCCTGAGCACAGACCCAGGAGCGAGCCCTGAGCACAGACCTAGGAGCAAGCCCTGAGCACAGACCCAGGAGCGAGCCCTGAGCACAGACCCAGGAGTGAGCCCTGAGCACAGACCCAGGAGCGAGCCCTGAGCACAGACCCAGGAGCGAGCCCTGAGCACAGACCCAGGAGTGAGCCCTGAGCACAGATCCAGGAGCAAACCCTGAGCACAGACCCAGGAGTGAGTCCTGAGCCACTGCTGGGCGTGACCTCCACCAAAACAAAACAAAATAACAAAAAAAAAAAAGAAGGAAGGAAGAAAATTAGAAGAATGCATTTTCAAGGCAGGGATATCCTAAAAGAAGCATCATCTTTTCCATAAGAATGTTATTCCATGTTGGTTGATTTTCCTGGTTAGAAAGGATTCAGTAGTCAGACCTCAGACTTTTTTTTTCTTACTGGAGAGAGAATGGATACTTCATGGCAGGAATCCTATTTTATGGTACCATATCATGTGCTACTTAATGATCTCATAACGGATACCTGAAAGTTTTCTTAATAAGCCGCTTCTGTTTAGTTTTCTTACAATTCCAACTAGACAGATGTAAAAAGAGATCCAAAGTAAAACAAACTTTCAAGAGTACTAGGCTAGTTCAGATTGCAGAATAATTGCCCCTTATAAAATAAAATACAGGCACTTCATTGCTATGGTGAATTTGATCATCATACAGTAGGATTGAAGTTCAGCATTGTTTGGGCACCAGTTGTTGTTTCGTGCCACTTTTTGCGCTGAATGAGGCTTTCAGGGACGGAGGTGGAGAGGGGAGAGATGGGACCAGGCCTGTGGCTCAGGGGGAGATTGAAATGTTGAATCCGAGTAATTAAGTGTCCATTTCCCTGAATTAATCGAAAACTTAGGTTGTTACAAAACCTGCACATGGATGTTTGTGAAACATTGAGGCCAGAACCTGGAGGCCACCATAATGTCTTTTGGCAAATTAAAGGATTCATTATAATAGACTGAGGTATATCCAGATAATGAATATAAGCTAAAGGGAAAAAGTTATAAATTTATTAAAAGACATGGAAAAACCGTAAATGCTCATGACTATGAAAAAGGTGAAATAAGTCCAAACACAAAGGCTGCATATTTCATGTCTCCCAGATCTATGACAGGGAAAGACAAAACTGTGGAGAAAAGCAAAATTTCAAAAGATCCTAGTTTCCAAGGACTAGAGATGAATAGGCATACAGTGGACCATTTCAGGACAGTGGACTTGGTATGATGCTGGCTACTTGGTGTAATGGTGGGTACGGGTCATATATTTGTCAAAATCCAGAGAATGTGTCACAGGAAGAGTTTCATTCTAATCCAGACTGGATGGTGGATGATCATAGCTTGTCAGTGTAGATTCATCACTAGTAGCAAATATGCTACTTTGGTTAGGGTTTTGATGTGTGTATTGTTAGCCTGGAGTCTCTATGGACATATGGGCAGTCTGTGTACCTAAGGTGAATTTTGCTCTGAACCGGATATATTGAAAAAATAAGATATATTGAAAAGATAAGTTTCTGAGGTAATTGAGGACAAGTAAACAAAGATGTGAGTAAAGTCATACAGAAAAGAATTCTGTGCCGTTGCTTGGTATTGACCATATATTTGGCTTTGAGCCTCCTGGTTGTCAAAGCAAAGAAGGGAACATGAATCAGATGGAGTCAGTGAACAAAAGTACCTCTTGTTCTTCATGGTCTCCATCATGTCGCTCATGTTTCATTTCTGTCTGCCTCGGAATGGCTTGTTGGCTAAAAGGATCCCAAAGACTTCTTTCTGTCTCTCATACTTGGGAACATTCTCCTTGGTGTCTTTTTCCTTGAATTTACTGCAACTGATTTTGTATCCAGGAAAGAAGTCTCTTAATTCTTAAATTTATAATGCCATCTGACTAATATTAAACTGTAGTTAATACCAGCCTGATTGACCTGTTTACATTCATATGTGGTTTGCAGAACAATAGGGTATAAACTTAACTGGGGTGTGTGGTTTGTGGTATTTTTTTCTACATTCTACTTAGGTTAAGATTTCCACATTTCCAGAGCAGGGCAGCCTTGTAGCTCAGATTCCTAACTTTTAGGGACACTATTTTTTTTTATTGCCTTTCTAACCTATAAGAAGGAATTTCTTCTTTCTAAAGGCAGACTTTAAATTTATACCTGATCCTGTGATTTAAAAAAAAAAACTATCAAGTACATGCCGAAGAAAACTTAATAACTTTATTAAAAAAGATGGAGATAGACTTATTTTTTTGAGTCTGGGCTCTCTCTTTTGACTACAGAGAAACCCTGATGGAAAAAAAATGCAGATGCTCGGGGCCCAGGGAATAGTTCGTGTGGAATCGTACATGCCTAACGTGCAGGAGACCCTCATTCAATCTCTGCACTTCTTGGCTCACCCAGCACTGCTGACTTGAGTTCTGGCGCCCCCAATCATGACTGGGCCGAAGATGCCCTGAGTGCTGGGGCCTATGAAGCAAGTCACCAGGCCCATACGATTGGGCCAGGCATTGCTAGGAGCAGCCTTCGATCTGCATAGCTCTGTGAGGGTTGGCCTCTGTTGAAAATATGATACCGATCTCTAAACCACAGTTTGACACTAATAAATCAGATAGATTATCAGATAACTCAGATTAATAAATCTCTCTACCTGATCTGACTCCCTGTTCTCTGTTGTCAACCCTCCACTAACAGATAGTCAAGACAGAGAACTGCCACTACTTTCATATTAAGGATGATGGAATTAGTTAGTAGAGTGGGTAAGATGCTTGCTTCGCTTGCAGCCAACCCAGATTTGATCTCCAACTCTGCAAATGCTTTGTCGAACACTGCCATGAGTTATACCTGAGCACAGAGCCAGAAATGAGCTCCAGCTGGATGTTTCCCAAGCTGCACACCCTCAAAAAATGGTGGTTACTGAGGCCCGGGCAGTGTGGGGGTTCACTAAATGGTATGAAGTAGAAACTTGCTTTATTCACCATTTTATCCTGGCCTCTAAAATAATGCCTGGGATATAGTAGGTAATCAGAAAATGTTTGTGGGACGAATTCTGTGCCTTGTATTGTTTAGTTTTCCAGACTAAGCTTGTTTGAACACAGGCAGTCACTGGACATTTCCTCTTCCAGAACAAGTTGCTGCACTACTTAAGGGTACTTAACTCTCCAGTCCTTCCTTTCATTTGCTGCTGCCTTCAGGAAAAGAGTTCAGGCTGGCAAAGCCCCACGGTGCCCTCCTGACACTTGCTTGGAGCGAATGATGTGAAATGGGCGAAGAGCCGTTGAGACTTTCGATAGCAGACATTGTTGGCTTGGAATTGGACTTTATCACTTGCTAAATATTTGCTTTTAGAATGCCCCAATCTTTGTATTCTTATTTGCAAAATGGGTATTTTTCTCCCGTTACTTAACTATGAAAAACAACCAAACTCAACTCCTAGCACGCTCATATAATGGTAACCTCATTGCTTTTATATATACATACATACATATATATGTATGTATATATATATATATTTCTTTTTGGGTCAAACCCAGTGATTCTCAGGGGTTACTCCTGGCTCTGCACTCAGGATTTACTCCTGGAAGTGCTTGGGGGACCATATGGGATGCCGGGATTGAACCTGGGTCGGCAGCGTGCAAGGCAAACGCCCTACCCGCTGTGCTATCACTCCGGCCCCTGCTTTTATATTCTTACTGTCTCTTGGATACCCTGTCTTTGGTATTGCCTTGTGCATTTCTTATGAATTTGCCTACAGATTACCTTTGCTCAGTCTGATCTACAATAGACCTTCAAAAGAACCATCTTTTCTTTTAGGATAAGTGATTGTCCACTTTCTTCTCCTTTTTGTTCTCTATATTTTGGCTGTAGCTACATCAGTTCTGAACGTAGCACTATACCTCTCCTTAGTCATTCTTTTCAGTGGTTTGACCTTGTTCAGAGAATAGAGACTTAAACTGTTTCGCTTCGCGCTCACTTTTCTCTCTGAAGTGCCTAAGATCTCTTCTGGCTTTTGCCTGATTTCTTGAACATACCTCCTTCTTCTCCTTCTTCTCCTTCGGTCTTTCTGCCTACCAATGTCCAAGTCAGTTCTCCAAGAACAAGTTAAGATATTGCTGAAGCCTCCTTGTATAATCTGAAGGCATGATTATAGTATTTTAGTTAAGAGGAAAAAAAATTTTTTTCCTTTTTCGTTCTTCCCTAGCGTTTGATTTTAATCCAGTATTTGGGCTCCATACTCACAGTTGTTCAAAGATGGAAATGGAAAAATTTGTCCTTCTGGGCAGAATATTGTGCAAGAACTGGGTCTTCAGCCTGTTCCAGGGCCACAGTCCACTTAAAATTGTCATGTTCCTTTTCATCACAGAAGCTAAAGAATTTCTGTTGCTCTTCAGTGAGTGAGACGGAAGCTTCCTTTAATTTGACCCCCAGTATAAGCCAAAGCGTTTGGTTTTAAAGAGTTCACCCAGTGGTGTATAAGTTTATAACTAAATCTCCTCGTTTTCAACCCCTGCTTTAGTTCGTTTGTCCTATTTCCTCAGAAAGAATAATGTTAGCTGCAATATCGTTTTTAATATTATGCAGTTAGAGTGAAAAAGAAAAGTTTCAATGAGGATCAGCAGTTTAATAATAGGAAAATACCTAAGCAACCCTTTTAATTATGGTGTGTGTGTGTGTGTGTGTGTGTGTGTGTGTGTGTGTGAGAGAGAGAGAGAGAGAGAGAGAGAGAGAGAGAGAGAGAGAGAGAGAGTGTGTGTCAGGGTGGGAGTGGAACAGAGGTCAGGGATGGGAAGAGAGAAAAATCCAGCAAATGCTGAGTCAAAAT